TGTATACATACAATGTTTGTATGCATACAATTTTTGTATGCATACAATGTTGGTGTATATACAAAGTTGCTGTGTATACAATGTTGGTGTATATGCAATACATAGTTGGTGTATTTAAAACGTTGGTGTATGTACAATGTTGGTGCATATATACAACTTTTTGTATAAATGCATTATCGCCTGTATATATATATATATATATATATATATATATATATATACAATCAATTCTTTGTATATATACAACTAGGCATATGCGTGCTTCAGCAATGGCAAACATACTTTGCTCAAATTCATGCTGAAACAAACAACCGTGATATGCGTAAGACAAATATTTGTATTATACATACATAATAATCTCTATACATATGCCGATGTGAATATATAGATACATGAGTGGGAAGATAGAAATGCCTGTTTCCCATGTATGTTATAGTTGCCGGGTTCAAATTCAGTGGTATCCGTCATCATACGTTGATACACAGGAGCGAAACAGTGTGATGGTTGCAGTCCTCGTGTTTCAGAGCCGGGTTCGAATCAGAAAAGAACTTCGCTGGCCACATGCGAAAGTGCAACATGCAAATGTTAGGACATATCTATCTCGTCCATCTCTGAACTCTCATCTCTGAGTGTCTCGCGAGCAGCTGCTGTTCAATTCTTCAATTCTTATGATGATAATTGCTGGCAATTTGAATAAAAATTCTGTTCACGTACACAGATGAACAACATATCCGCCAACAACTACACACACACACACACACACACACACACACACACACACACACACACACACACACACACACACACGTGAAAACATATAAAAAAATAAACATACAATCACATACAATAAAAACAGGTAAATGTGTGTCTTTCGCAATTTTTTCAAACAAAGAGATAACTTCATTAGACGTAAGAACAAAGAATGAACGCATTTTTATTTTATTCAATGTTGCGTGCGTGTGTGTGTGTGCGCGCGCGCGTGTGTTTTCATGTGTGTGTTTGTGTGTGTGAGTTTGTGTGTGTGTGTGTGTACACCGAATAAACACATGCCATGATAAGAAGCCCGAAAAACGAATTTTTTTACGAATGAAAAAATTGCGATTCGACGAAGCGAAGGACTTCAGAAAAAAATATATATATTTAACATGAACGAGAAAAAAAAATAAATGATCCAATTGTGACGAACTTACTTAAGCGATATATCGTCAGAGGTTTTGCAGTAGAAAAACAAACAAAACACTCGAAACAAAAAAAAAAACAAAAAAAAAGAAAAATGAAAGAAAAAAAAGAATCTCAATCCACGCCTGGAATTTGACATATTTTTTTACTTCCCAGACCCACTAAAGAACTCGGCGTCTTTAATCAAACACACACACCAGTGTTTAAAGATACACACACACACACACACACAAGCACAAACACACACACAAGCACACACACACACTCACACATACAAACGCATAAAACGTATCGCATTTAAAAAGCAACAAATGTCAGAACACCACAACAAACAAAGCACCCGGTTAAAGTGCACCGTCGCTAAGCAACCAACAATATGTCAACAAAACATACACATACATACACAGACACACACACACACACACACACACACACACACACACACACACACACACACACACACATATATATATATATGCACACCAACACATACCCACATTGTACGTTAAATATACATCTATACAATTTTTGTGTACAAACAAAACAGACAACATTCGATACGTAATTTTATTATCATAGCCAACATGCTAAGTAACAAGCACCTAAGTTGAATAAAATATACATATACATTAACATATACATCAACATATATTAACATACATTAACATATACATTAAAATATACATACAAATGCTATATTTTATAAAACCTACCAAATTTTTCGCTAAAAATTCGATAGATTTCATCAAATATTGCATCAATTATGGTCTTTTTCTAACCTTTATATATATATATATATATATATATATATATATATATATAGATATATATATACATAAATATATACAAACATATTGTATGTATTTGTTGTATATATATATATATATATATATATATATATATATATATATATATATAATTCTAGCGTTACAAACGAATTAATAACATAAAAATATTGTTACCATTGTATTGTTGATAACGCAAAAAATAATATTAGCTTATGTAACGAGTATAAAACCACACAGCACACACATAATTACACACACACACACACACACATACATAGACACACACGCACAAACATGCATACACACATACGCACATACACACACACACACACATACATAAACATACACACAAACATACTCATATCAATAAATAGATAAATACAAAAGCTTCCTCAAAGAAAAGGCACTAGTAACAATTATAATATAATAAATAACGGACATTATAAAATTATAACATAATTAATAATATTATTATTACTACTACTACTACTACTACTACTACTATTATTATTATTATTTTTGTTATTGATTCT